ATACACAAAGAATATCGGCCGATATATCGATATCTGCCTTTTTTTACTCCCTAATATCGGTATCGGCCCAAAAAAATCCATATCGGTCGGGCTATAGTTTAAACTACTTCCAGTTTCAGCTTGACAAACCGATTTATGAACTTTATCTCTAACTGAAAAATGATGGGAGAGTTTCTACATTGACTGAAATAGCACGTAGTTTGGAATATTGCCCCAACATAGTGAGGAAAGTAAATAAATATGCCTGTGGAGGATGTCATTAACATTCCTTCAGTGTTTATAAAAGCTATCATGTGTTTTAAGAGGTAGACATTAGATTATCATACAGCCGTCTCCCCACACATTAACCAAAGGACTAGTCATAAAAGGAGACTTGAGCATTTCATAATAAGTATTTCATCCTATTTCCCAGTAAAAATGTCTAAACATCCTTAAAATGAGGAATCTACTTGAAAAGCAAAGTTTTCAGAGAATTTGTTGAATCATTGTTTTAACAGCTGTTTCATTTTTCCATGCTGCAAACCTTTCTAATTTTTGTTCGATTTGTGTTTAAAAATATCAGTTTGGCAGTGAAGTACAACAAACTGAATTCAATAATTGTTAATTCATTTAATTATGCAGTTGTTTTCTGCATTTGCTAAGTTGCACTTGATGGTTTGTTTTCCTAAGAAACTGTTCGCATGGGAGAAACAAGAAGGTGTTTATCTGTTGGATGATGTGAAATGAACCAAAGAAGATCCAAAGGAGTCCAGATGTTTATGGTCTAACATGAATTGCATTCCTGTAATCTGACATGCTGTTTATCTCTGTCCATATGAGCAGATCTTTCTCACAGCATCCTGATGGTGAATCTGCCTATATTGCTTTTCATTTAATGATGAATTTTAAACAAAACCTTGAAACTGTTCTCACATATCTGGCCACCACTTACATGCAAAAGTCCTCGATTCAATATATACGTACAAATGAGGACAGAAAGTCACATTTTAACATTATTTTTCAAAAAAAAAAATGTGTATGGGTACTTAAGTAAACCTATAAGTTGCTTAGGTTTAGGTCCAAAATGAAAAGACATCTGTCATCAGTTACTCACTCCCATATTTCCATGCAGCTTTGAATGGTGGGCTCCGGCCCTTCGGTTGAGAACCACCTATCTAGAATGATGAAAACATGTCTTGTTAGTTTTGATGGACTGCTGTTTATGATTGGACAGACAGATCCTTGTGAAGTACTGTCTGAAAAATCTTTCTGAGTTATCTTGCAATCTACCCACAAAAGCCCCAGAGGGTCAGTCTGAGTCTCCTGTGGCTCACCCAAATCATTTTTGCTTTGTTTTGCATCTGTTACATCATGAGGAAGCTGCATTCTGGATGGCGTCGAGTCTCGTCTGCAGCTGTTCGGCGTGTGTGGAGCGCATTCCGACCGATCCGTCATTCAGTGTTCATGTAAAAGAAACCAGATGCTTTACTATGTGCAAATCCATGCGGCTCTTTCAGAGCAGAACAGCCTCGTCAGAGAAAGACCCTTTAGCAACTTATATCCACACACTGCAAAACACAAATCCACAAGTCCTGGATATAATCATGTGATGATTATGTGAAAGCTGTAAAACATTTAAGTGGCTTTAAAATGTAAAATATACTAGTTTAATTACATTATATTATATACACTACCGTTCAAAAGTTTAGGGTTAGTAAGATTTTATGTATTTAATTAATTAATTAATTAATTTGACAAATTATTGCTTTTATTGAGGAAAGGTGCATTAAAGTGATCAAAAGTAACAGTAAATACATTTATAATGTTACAAAAGATATCTAATTTCAAATAAATGTTCAAATAATCCTGAATAAATATTATCCACAAAAGTATTAAGCACCACAACTGTTTTCAGTATTGATAATAATAATGTTACATATTTCTTTAGCAGCAAATCAGCATATTAGAAGGATTTCTGAAGGATCATGTGACACTGGAGTAATGGTGCTAAAAATTCAGCTTTGGCAAATATAAATTACATTTTAAAATATACTGAAATAGAAAACAGTTGTTTAAAACTGTAATAATATTTTACAATAAATATTTTTACTGTAATTTTGATCAAATAAACACAGCCTTGGAGAGCACAAGAGACTTCTTTCAAGAATATTAAAATATATGTTGAAAATGGCCGCCATGTGAAAATAACATGACTGGCTGAATACTACTTGGATTTATTTATTTTAGAAAATATTTACCTTTTTTATCTTGATAGCCACTTGATGCTTTTACTCACACAATAAAGTAATCATACCTGACTGTGAATGTTCAATGTCGCCATGTTTAAACAAAGACAACCAGTACAACTTAAAAATGACTAACTGCACCTGTATGTTTCACTTTGTTTCGCATTCACTCTTCACTTTGTTCTGTCATGTGACTACAGAAGGATTGAAATATGTTCAAAATAGAATCTAATACTTTTATGCTGCTTCTGTCGTATTTGAAGCCTGATATACAGTATTTGGTGTCCACTGACTTTGTATGGAAAAGAGCAGCTCAGACATACTAAAAAAATGATTTTGTATCTTCTGTCTCATTGCTCTTGCTGTTACTTCTCTCTGTGTTTTGTGTGAGAGGCTGGAGAGGAGCAGAGCGAGGGAAAGACAGAAATATCTGAGGGTGTGTAGGCCATGGTCTAACCACCGGCATGCAGCAGGAAACAAGCCTCTCTCTCCAGCAGGAGGATATGTTTGCTTCCCAATAAGAAAGAGAGATGCTTGTGATTACTCAAACGATTCACAGAAGACACTCATACATCTTTTCTGACGGCAAAAACCTTCCAGTCACGTACAGTACAACAAATTGCATTTACAGTTATGTTAACAGCAGATGTTGACAGTGTAACTGTAACAACAACCTCACTTTGTTTTACACCAATTTTCATGTATGTACTGTATGTGTGTTCATGTATATGTATGTGCTTTGAATTTTCTACTTCAATAGAAAGTTTCACATGATCCTTCAGAAATTATTGTAATATTCTGATTTCTTATTTTTATCAATGTTGAATATATTCACTATATATGTGACCCTGGACCACAAAAGCAGTCTTAAGTTGCTGGGGTATATTTGTAGCAATAGCCAAAAATACATCGTATGGGTCAAAATTATCGATTTTTCTTTTATGCCAAAAATCATTAGGATATTAAGTAAAGATCACGTTACATGAAGATATTGTGTAAATTTCCTACTGTAAATATATTAAAACTTAATTTTTGATTAGTAAGATGCATTGTTAAGAACTTCATTTGGACAAATTTAAAGGTGATTTCTCAATATTTTTGCACCCTCAGATTCCAGATTTTCAAATAGTTGTATCTCGGCCAAATATTGTCCTATCCTAACAAACCATACATCAATGGAAAGCTTATTTATTCAGCTTTCATATGATGTATACATCTCAGTTTCGAAAAATACTCTTATGACTGGTTTTGTGGTCCAGGGTCACATATATGTATATATACACAGTGTTGGGGGTAACGTGAGTAACCAGTAACGTGAGTTATGTAATCAGATTACTTTTTTTAGTAATTTACTTTTTAGTTTTACTTTTAAATTTACAATGAAATATCTGAGCTACTTTAGAATTTAGCCTTTAGAGTTGCCAAAATATAACACTTTTTTTTGTTACTAAAAAACAAACAAGCAAGCCCAGCCCAGGTGACAAAAAGTAACACAAAAGTAACTTAATGGATCACTTTCCTAGTTACTTTTTATGGAGTAACGCTATATTGTAATGCATTACTTTTAAAAGTATTTTTCTGACACAAAAACAATATCTTTCTGCACTGTGTAACAACTTTAAACAGATACATGTATTCAAAATAGAATTAACATTATTAGAAAAAAATAACCCAAAAAGATGAACAACTTAATTTGCCGTTTCTGTTCGAAGAAACCAATTCACTAATATGAATCAGACTTTCCAACATAACAGCAAAAACAAAGAAAGGACAGTTTAGTGGAACAAATTCAATTCAAACAATATGACAAAATGTGGTATTTATTCACACTTCACAACTTGGAAAAGGCAGCTTGTTAACTGACTGGAAAAGCTACTTTATTTAACTTAGTAATGTCACCGGGGAGTAAAATGTTAAATCAAAAATAAATGCTTGGAACTGTTTAGTCTTTAGGCCTACTAAAACTTCCAAGTGCTGTTTTGCTTTTTAGTAAACATGATTTTATGGATTTTATTCTTTAGGAGTCATTTTAGGTGAAAACACCACCAATCCATGATGGACCAAAAGCTTGGCTCTTCTTGACAGTACGAGTGTTGTTTGGACTTTCTAAATCCAAATGACCTTAAAACTAACACAGGGCTGGTCATAACAGCTCCATTAATAGACTCGGTCCCTCCTACGACTGTAGACAAACTTAAAAAATAAGAACAAACACTCTTTGCAAATGTCTCTGTGCAACCAGATTGCCGCCGGAATAAGTTTGTCATAGTCATTCTCACGCAAATACACACTCATGCTGAGTGAATCTCTGTCTTGTTTGCGGGCAGCTGAAGCGTTTAATGCTAAACTGAGCTGACCACAGAAAGAGCATGCATTCAGAGAAAAATACACCACAAAACACAGCAGGATCTCTTAGAGGCCGGTTTAGCAGAGATGACAGTCAATGACAGTAATGCAAGCGCCCCCTGCTGGGATTTGTATGCATGTGCACACTTTTAAAGCGATGTGACATGTGGCCAAGTATGGTGACCCATACTAGGAATTAGTGCTCTGCATTTATCCCATCCAAAGTGCACACACACAGCAGTGAACACACACACACCTGGAGCAGTGGGCAGCCATTTTTGCCATTTTTACTCTTAAGTTCACTCTTAGCAATTTTAAAGTACTACTAATTTACAGCCAAATCAACACCTACAAGCTGCTATATACAAGCTCAGAGTTGTAAGAGTGAAGATTTTTGACATTTCTATTCTTATTATTTTAAAATCAAAAATGTCTTTTACTGTCACTGCAGAGAGTATCAGGTAAAATCATTAGTTCAATTTGGTGGGCAATACAAGGAAAAAACACTGTTTTGCACTGGTCAGTTTTGAGATTTGGGGATATTTTGCTTCCATAACATGTTTTATTTCAGACTAGTGGAAAGAAAACATCCAAAACACACATTAAAGTGATTTTTTTACGCTTTATGTAATCTGTACAAATTCATATCTTTAAAGGCCATTTTCGCAAAAGGATTTTTTTTTCTCCTGTACTGAGCCAGAAATCCCCACTTTCCTAGAACTTACATACACCAAACCTTCTGAAGATTTTTATATCATTTGCCTGTTTTATAAAACACTTTATTTATTAAAAAAATTATTGGTGATTATTTTCTTGGGCTGTTGACAGTGTTTTCTGAATTATGGAGTGATAGAAAGCTATCCCCTCTGCAAAAATCTTTCAGTCTAATTTGTGAAAAGAATAAACCAAGCATTCTAATCCAATTTCTGATTTCTGTTCTGGAAGTTTATGCAAATTATTGGATTTTTATAATGCATCATTTGCATATTTAAACGTAACCTTTCTGGAAGCTTGTCACACAAAATATTTGTCTTATTGTGTACTGTGTACTTTTAAAATGTAATTTATTCCTGTGATGCAAAGCTGTATTCAGTGTCACATGATCCTTCAGAAATCATTCTAACATGCTGATGCTGCTCAAGAACCATTTATTTTATATTTTTGTGGAAAGTGTGATTTTCATTTTTTTTTGTCATTCAAAACATTTGTCTTATTATGTACAGAGATTAATCAACTGAACAAACACCACATTGATCAGTTCAATTCTATATCAATGAATCAAGTAGTTATGTTGTTTAGCATCTGTAACCATTATACATTTAGACTAATTAGCTACAATACATTACTTAGCACAGATGTTAATATTAATTTGAGTATTGGTAATACATGCAATTATTTGAAAATTGGTATCTTTCATCATAAAATGAACAGTGTTCCATATGACCAAAATGAAACAAATTTCAGCCAGTGCACTTAGGAAAAGTCAAGTCAAGTCAAGTCACCTTTATTTATATAGCGCTTTTAACAATACAGATTGTGTCAAAGCAACTGAACAGCATTAATTAGGAAAATAGTGTCAATAATGCAAAGTGACAATAGTAAACACTCATTTTTCAGTTAAAGACAGTTCATCATTGAATTCAGTGATGTCAACATCCAGCTCAGTTTAAATAATATTTTTGCAATCATGTCAATGATATCGCTGGAAATGAAGTGTCCCCAACTAAGCAAGCCAGAGGCGATAGCGGCAAGGAACCAAAACTCCATCGGTGACAGAAAAACAACTTATTTTACAGGGAAATGCTGAGGAAGATATACATTTTTAGCAATGCATGCACCATTTAATTCCATGTCTTTCTGCTCTGATTAAAGGTCTTAATTTGTGGAAGTGTGAATTTTTAAAGACGTTTTAAAGACCTGCAGACTGAGAACTCCATTAAGGTTGCTGACCAGTAGAGCAACAGCGCAAATTAAATCATTTGATCATGTTCTGAACACTGTTTCACAGGCTTACAGACACGGCACTGATGTGTATCTTCTGCTGCTGGTATGTGAGGCCACTGACATGCAGCACGTACAGTCTTCCCTCCATCATTGCATGGAGAGGAGACAAGGAAGCAATCGACTCATATGGGCCTGCTGCCAACGGGAATGCTTTTTATATAGTGAGTTGTGACATCATGGGGGCACTGGGTTAGAGAACAGGGTCACGGAGAGGACGACAGCATGTTTTTCTCTGAAGACATCAGGAATCTTTAATGTCAGTGCATCGGTTTGTGCACATGTATGTCTGGTAGTTATTTTATCTCAGATTTGGAATGTGAAAAGTATTCCTGGACCTAAAAATACAGCATTTGTTTTGTTTCTGAAAAATATCCTCAGGAAGTTCAGTGCTGATTTTGACTATTGCTATGATCAAGTTAAAGCTGATGGTTCTGATTAGCATTTGTCCGCCCTTACATGCATGAACAGACCATCAGATATATCAGATTATATGTACCTTTCAAAACCCGTTACACAAACAGGAAGGCCTTGTGCTACTGTACTTTACATGAACCTTGTGACAGTAGTTTAATAGCAAGTACTGTAAATTAGATGTCCATGAACTGTATACACATTCTAAAGTTTGTAATTTTGTAATGTTTTTGAAAGAAGTCTCTAATGCTCACAAAACAAACGTAAATCAGTTATACTGTGAAATTTTGTGAAATATTCAAAATATAATATTAAAATATAATTTATTAATGTGATGCAAAACTGAATTTTCTGCATCTTTACTCCAGTCTTCAGTGTCACATGATCATTCTAATATGCTGATACTGCTCAAGAACCATTTATTTTATATTTTTGTGGAAACTGATTTGATCAGGAATCCTTTGATCAAAAGAAAGTTCAAAAGAACAGCATTTATTTGAAACAGGATTTTGTTTTGTAGCAATGTTAAGTATTTAAAAAGAACTTTTGAAAGGAAGTGTATGTTCTATTTTGCTTCCTGGGTTAAGAGAATCAGTTTCAACTTTTAAACTTTTTTAAAGGGATAATTGACCTAAAAGATTTAAAGTTATTAGAATAAATTTACTAATTTACTTTTGTCGTTCCAAACTGAACTAACTTTCTTCTGGGAAAGTGAATGTTTCAACATTGTTTTTTAATGCATAGACAAAAAACATTTATTGAATGACATTTTCATTTTAAGGTGAACTATCCCTTTAAATCTGTAGATTTAATTTTGCATCATAACTTGATTTTAATGGTCGAAAGTACAGTTCTGACATCTCTGAGAAGAGCAAATGCTGTCTCCTTATTGGAGATGTAATTTAGTAAATATGATCACAATTTTTTAGAAAAACAGTAAAATATTGTGTAAAAATATCTGAGCATTAAGAATTGGACGTGAACCTCAAAACCAAGCTCTTTTAAGCATATCTGCACAGGATGAAAATTTACAAATCCAGTGCAAAACCATTCGTCATGCATATTAATTAGCTGATGTAGACTGATGATTTAAGGCATATTTCACCCAAAATAGGGGTTGAACGGCCTCAGATTTTTCTGAAGTCGACAGTTATGTACAAACCCAATTCCAAAAAAAGTTGGGACACTGTACAAATTGTGAGTAAAAAAGGAATGGAATAATTTACAAATCTCATAAACTTATATTTTATTCACAATAGAATATAGATAACATATCAAATGTTGAAAGTGAGACATTTTGAAATGTCATGCCAAATATTGGCTCATTTTGGATTTCATGAGAGCTACACATTCCAAAAAAGTTGGGACAGGTAGCAATAAGAGGCCGGAAAAGTTAAATGTACATATAAGGAACAGCTGGAGGACCAATTTGCAACTTATTAGGTCAATTGGCAACCCAAGTCAAGGTTGACTAATCGCTGATAATGTCATTAATAATAAAAAAAAAAGTTTTGCAACCTGCCACAGTTTGCAATTTATTTGAACCCCCCCCCCCCCCCCAAAAAAAAAAACAGATGCTGCCAGAGAGTTCATAACGTGTTGCAACTTAATTGTAACAATGATAACTCCCATTTTAGGGCAAAATAAATATGATTGATGCATAACATAATAATGATGCTTGGACAAGATTTCGAATTAGATAAGATTAGAATTAAGTTAGCATGAATACCTGTCTGAGTCATTACATTTTTTTTTTTTTCAGGGGTTTAGTTTTACATGTAGCATAAACAGATTCACATATTGTCAATCACACACCTGCGGTGCTTCTGTGAAATGGAGAAAAACAGAATAAAAAACATGTATATATGTAAACATTTCTATTTGTGCTAAATGAGAGATGTACATTTCAGTTTCACTTTTGCTTTTAATTAATTTGGGCTTGACATTTATTTTGTTGTTTATAAAGAATGCCATTATAATTTGTGTTTTATAACAGTATATCATTTTATAGCTACTTATATCTTCATATTTTTAACTTGTTGTTGTTCCAAACCTGCATGTGTTTCTTTCTTCTGTTGAACACAAAATAAGATATTTTGAAGAATGTTGGTAACCAAACCGTTGACGGTAGCCACTGACTTCCATAGTATTTTTTCCATACTATGGAAGTCAATGGCTACCGTCAACAAATTTTCAGATTTGGATGAACTATCCCTATAAATTTGCCAATTCTGAATAACATAGTTATTTTTTATGAGCTGCGACATTAGACAAAACTTGCACTGATGTCTATATGCAAACAGTTGACATAAAATATTACAGTGATGTAACTCTTAATAATGACATGATCTATATATGGAATTGCATAAGCTGACCTTTATGCTTTGGTTGTATATCTACCATCTTTCAAAACCACCATGAGAGGTTCCAGTTATATAAAATATCCTGAATGGCTTTATGTAAGCGAGTCTTTATCTATCTATCAGTCTTCCATTCATGCCGCAGGCGTCTGATGCTCAGATAGCCGTTGATCTTTATATAGAAATTGAGTACAGTTTCAGCATGTGTGTCTTTGAATAACATGCCGTGACATCGAGGATGGCCATTAATCTGGCAGTTTTGGTCTGATCAGAATGAGGTCTTGGTTGGATGACAGCTATCATTCAATCTCGTGTGAAGCAGCACCTTCCTCTGCTTTGGGTTGATACGTGTGTTTATAGGCTGAGCCAATACAGGTTGGTTTGGAACAATGCAGTGTTTTCGTGAAAAGAGGGATGTCTGTGAAACTGCACGTAGCAATCGAAGCCATGCATGCAGGCTCCGCCTCGCACGCCTTCATGTGGGCTTCGCCATCACTATACTATGTTTAAATGGGGAGGTACAGGTTGGGTTCATGGGCGACTGACTGCACATTTTTCCACAAATAGCCCATGTTACATAAAGAAATAATATCTGAAATGGGACTGGGCGTTGCATCCTCCATTGATTTCCATTGGCAAACATGCATACAAGAGCTGTTTTAAAGTTCACACAAAATGTTTAATTCTGTCATTATTTACTCACCCTCATGTCATATTAAACCCATAAGCTTTATATTTTCTTCAAAACACAAAAGGAAGAATTTTAATGCAGCTTTTCCCAGTTTGTAGTGACCACAATTTATATTTCGCTATATTGTGTATTTTCTGTCAAAGATACAATAAAAAGAAAAAAGGAGAATCTTTTTTCTCTTCTCCAAAATAAAAGTTACAAAAAAGTGAAAAATGTGAACAATAATGAAAACATTTTTATTTACCGAGTTCCTCCTGCTGCACATATTCAGTACACATATGTCAATGTGCAATTTTTATTAGATTATACACAGTTTTGAATTCTGAAAATATTTGCAAAAACCGTTAGGCCTTTTTTATTACCTAATTTGTTGATGCTGTGTACAAAAATATCAATAAAAGCTTTGCATCATGTACAGTTTATCCAAAAAATAAGAATAAGGATTTTTCAAATTATGTATCAGCCTTAATGCACTTATCAAAATAATAAAAGTGTCAAAAGTTAAAAATATATATATATTCAAAATGTATCATCCAATTTACAAGCAACAAAGGAGAAGGAAAACATATGTTCAAGTAATCCATTTATTTTCAGAGAACTTAACATAATTGCATGCCTTATAAATAAATATGCTTTGTTTCACAAAAACTGTAATTTTCTGTTCCTGTTTGGATGTTACAGTAAGTGTAAAATACCCACAGATGCAGCAGAAAACATCTGGGTCATGTTTGCATTTTCTTCTGTCACTGGCCATAATTAATAATATAAAATAATTTTTAGGCATTAAATAATGTCAAACATTTCAAAATTGGCTGAAAAAGAACAAATAGTTATAACCTGTCTCAGAGAAAGTTAGGAATCGTCTTTGTGGCGGGTTTTCTAGTCATTTAGTGATCATACAAGACTTCATCCCCTTACAAATGGTTGTGCAAAGCAAAAATGCTGCAAAATGGAAAACGAGAACGTAAGAGAAAATGTAAAAAAACCCAGCTATGTTTAAAAAATTTGTTAGAAACAAGTATTGTATTTCATTCAGCAAGTATGATCCAGGGACAGGGTGGTGTTATGAGTAAAAAGCGTATGGTTGAACTCCTTAAAATGATACTCTTGCTTGTCTGAAAAAAAAAATCACGGAGCATTCCTGATCTGGAAAAGAAATCTTTCTGAGAACTGGCTGATTAAAATCAATCATGTTTAGAAATGGATTTTAATTATACTTTTAAAAAGGGTGCAGTTGAAGGTGCTCTTTGATCATGAAGCATATAGAGACAAGATTGTAGCAATGATACAGAGATGTGGCAAATTACAGTGCATAATGGTTTAACCCTAAAATAGGCAGTAAAGCTAAATCATAAATAAAAGCAAAAGTAAAAGCAAAAATACTGTAAATGTAGCTGAAGTAAAATCAATTTAAATGTGAAATTTCTCATTATAATTTGCATAACTGTTACTGTACATGGGTCTTCTCACCTGAAGCAAGTCTGATCAAATCAAGGAGCATTCCTGATCTGGAAAAGAAATCTTTCTGAGAACTGGCTGATTAAAATCAATCATGTTTAGAAATGGATTTTAATTATACTTTTAAAAAGGGTGCAGTTGAAGGTGCTCTTTGATTATGAAGCATATAGAGACAAGATTGTAGCAATGATACAGAGATGTGGCAAATTACAGTGCATAATGGTTTAACCCTAAAATAGGCAGTAAAGCTAAATCATAAATAAAAGCAA